TTAGGGATTAAGGTTTAGGGTTTAGGTTTTAGAGTTTAGGGTTTAGGGTTTAGGGGTTTAGGGTTTAGGGTTTAGGATTCCTCCTAAAGGCTTCGTTTCAAAAACCTTCCCTTAGGAATCTGTAAGATAGAGTGCCCTTTATAAGGATTCTTTAAAAAGGGGGTTCCCTTTAAGGCTTCTTTCAGGGTTCTAAAGGGTTTGTCAGTTTTTGGCTTATGAGCTCGGGGGTTCTAGAGGTTTTGTAGTGACTTTTGAGTTTGGGTCCGGGCTTTTTTTAGGCCTCCATAACCCTTACGTTCGAAATGAACTCCAAGAGGATTTCTGGTTCATATGCCGTAGAGGGATTCGGAGTATAAGGGTTACATGGGGCCCCTACTTATAAGGGCCTTGTGGCCCCTAAACCCAAACCCTGAACCCCATTTATGGGTTTAGAGCTTAGAGGTTTAGGGATTTATAAGGGATCAACATGGGGTTAAAGACTATTTCGGTTTAACCAGCGTTTCAGTGCGCATTCGGATACCAGGACACCCCGAGTCAAAGACACCCTCTAGGACTCCTACTGTTGAAGGTATCAATCCTGCATTACTCACTAATATAAGGAATAGACCATAATTCCCATAGTTTAGGGTCCTTAAGGTAATGCAGGATTTCGATCATCAACAGTCTCATCCGATACTATGTTATGCTTTATAGTCTAGGAGTATAGGGTTGGGGTTTGGGGGTTCTGGGGCCCAGGTTCAGGATGTCAGGTGAAAGGTTGGGTCGGTTTAGGGTTTAGGGTATAGGGCCTTTGGGTTTAGGGTGTAGGGTTTTGGGTTTAGGGTGTAGGGTTTAGGGTTTAGGGTTTAGGGTGTAGGTTATAGGGTTTAGGGTATAGGTTTTAGGGTTTCGGGTTTGGGGTTTAGGCACAGATTAATCTTCAGGGTGGGGGGGATTGGGGGGATTAGGGGCTCGGCTTTCAACTTGCTGGGCTTTGCTTTGGGGTGTAGCTGCTTCAATGTCAAATTGACACTTATACTTCGAATCCCGTTTGGGTTTAGGGTTTGGGGTTTGCGTAATTGTCTAGTAAGCCCCTGTAACCCTCCATCTACCCTCTATTGGACCCTAAATACCTACGATTAGGGCCCACATACCCTTGTCTGTGCGTCAAAGGAGGGTCCTGGTACTCTTTATCGCCCACTTGTTCAAGCACCGTAAGGACGAAATGAACCCTAAAAGGGTTTAAGGTTCAAACACCATTCAGGGATTCATAGTATAAGGGTATAAGTTGTAGGGCCCTTACTTCTATAGAGGTGATTTGGTCTTTGAGGCACAAGCCGTCGAATCCCAATGCCCTGGAAGGCCAGCAGAGCGGCTATCCCCAGGCCTTTCTTGGGCGTTTAGGGTCTAGGGTTTAGGGTTTAGGGTTTAGGGTTTAGGGTTTAGGGTTTAGGGTTTAGGGTTTAGGGTTATCCTATCATTACTCAAAGGGTCCTAGGTACTGCTATGGGGGATACTCTCCCGAATCCATAATAATGACTCCTGATCTAGAAACCCTGACATTCTACTATATACGTGCCCAGGACCCTTCCGGTTGGAACCCTTAACCTAGACCTAAACCCGAAACCCCTAAACCCTAAACCCCTAAACCCTAAACCCCTGAACCCCTAAACCCTAAACCCTAGACTCCCTAGACCCCTAAACCCTAAACCCTTAAACCCTAAATCCTAAGCCCTTCAACCCTAAACCCTAAGCCCCTAAACCCTAAACCCCCGAACCCCTAAGCCTCTAAACCCTAAACCCCTGAACCCCTAAACCCTAAACCCTAAACCCCTGAACCCCTAAACCCTAAACCCTAATGAGTAGGTGAGCTAGGTTCGTATCGTATCCCTCACGTCCCACCCCGTTGCCCTTCCAAGGGGTTCCCCACCAGGTTCGTAAGCTCTTATATCTGGTTTAGGGTTTAGGGTTTAGGGTTTCGGGTTTGACATGTTCAGGTGGGTAGTTGCCGTTATAGGAGCCTCATAGAAGGTTTATATACCTTATGGAAGCCTTATAGAAGCCCTATATAGCCTAAACTCCCCACCTGTAGCTTCCTTCAACTTACGTCGTCAGTCTCACGCCTTTCGCTGGGGACCACGATCATGACCCGACGCGTTTTACCCTTTTGGGTTATATATTGCATTCCCAACACCTTTAATACCCCTAGGATACTGGACAAGTAGATCTGCGAGATTTGGCTAAATCTGAGTGGCTTGAAACAGTCATGCATCCCGAGCCTGCCAAAGCCCACTGTGGACCCGCACCCAGGCGATTGGGGAATTTGGGACAGTGTGACGTGCTCTTTGGTTTTCTTTGGTGTTGCATGGTCTCGGAATCGTAGCCGCCTTGCCATGCATGACCTGTCTAAGCAGGCATAGAAGCGTTATAAACCCTACACCCCAAACCCTAAACCCCATCATGAGACCCCACCCAAAGGGTCCTAGGTACTGTTATGGGGGATACTTCCCCAACATATAATGGTAATTCCCAATATAGAAACCCTACATTCTACTTTTTAGGTACTTTGGACCCTTTAAACTTTTGGCCAAGACGTAATTCCAAGACCTTGCGCGTCTTCAGCAGGCGGGTGACGTGCGGGCGCGGCGTTTTTTTTTTTTTTTTTTACCGCGGCACGTCTTATGACACGAGAGACCATTGACGGTTTAGGGTTTAGGGTGTAGGGTTGAGGGTTTAGGGTTTAGGGTTGCGACCATGTAAAGTCGGACGACCGGGTTTTGGTTTTGGAGTGAGCCATGCAGGCAACCACCGCACCGCACGAGCGGTGCGCAGCATGGTTGATCCATACAGGTGTCCTTCAAAAGGGTAATTCTGTTGTCTATGGCTTCAAAGTTGACCGCGATCACCGCATTGGCAAACTCATGAAGACAATCTGGCTCAATGAGCTGCCTGCCCCAAGTTAGAAGCCTAAATACTTACCAATGTTGATACCCCAGGGCTTTTTTATTATAACTATACTATAGAGGAACCTAAGAGCATATTCTACTTGTGAAGCTTCCTACATTAGCTGAACCTCTGCAGAAGATTCCGATGACAGGCTCCGCAGCGATCGATCGCAGGATCCTCCACCACAGCGAAGGCGGGGGCTGCAACTTCTCTGCTTGAAGTAGACGCCAAAAAGTTGGAGTATGATTCACCCAACCCCTAACCCTAAACCCCGAATAAACCCTAATTTAACTAAACCCTACACCTTACCCCTTTAGCCCTACGCCCAGAGCTCTATATACACTACACCCGAAACCTACTGTTGGTGATATAAACCTTGCATTACCTTAAACACCCTAAACCATGGGAAGTATGGTCTATTCCTCATTATGGGTACCCAGAGACTCCTAAACTCCTTAATTGAGGAATATGCCCTAAACTATAATAGAAACGGGTTTAGGGTTTAGCGTTTAGGGTTTAGGGTTTAGGGTTTAGGGGGGTAATGCAGGATTTATATCATCAACCGTCCGAATTCTCCCAGGGCGGAGCCTGCGCGGCTCGAGCCTTTACCTGCAAGGCGCCAGAGACAGGCCGCCAGCATTGGTTGGGGCCCGTAGGGTTTAGGGTTTACGGTTACCCAGAGACTCCGAAACCCCTTCAAACAAGGAAAACACTTCAAATCATATTGGGGTTCCTATTGTAGTTTAAGGTCTATGTCTTCATCAAGGGGTTTTTGGAGTCTCTGGGAATGTAGGTTTGGGAGTAAGGGTTTAGGGTTTTAGGGTTTCGGGGTTAGGGGGGTTTAGGGTTTAAGGCTTTAGGAGCTTGGGCTTTGGGGCTGTAGGGTTTGGGGTGTTTGGCTTATGGCTTGGTCTCGAGTTGGTGTTTAGGCTTTATCAGGGTATGACCGAGGGTCTTCTGGCACTTAGTTGTTTGTTGGCTTGGGGTTGATATTGTTGTTGATGATGATGATGATGATGATATACATATATATATATATACATATATATATATATATATCCTGCATTACCTCAAGGGCCCTAAACTATATAGGAACTATGGTATATATTCCTTTTTATTGGTAATGCAGGATTTTTATCATCAGCCGTAACTCGGTCAGTTTAGGGTTAAGGGGGTTTCGAGTAGAGTTAGGACGTTCGGGTTCAGGATTCAGGGTTTGGATGATACAAATAGAACTTTACAGGCATAGTTCACTATATAAGTATAAGCCGCTCTTTAGATGTAAAGGTTTGAAGGTGTATAAGATTTTATATCTAAATATCAGTTTGTACTTATTATATAGCTCAAAATACCTAGGTTTGAGTTTAAATTTGGCGGTGTGCATTTTGGATTCAAGGCGTTCTACTGCGACTCTGGCTTCAAAGCAGCTTCGCTTTCGTAGGGTTCTGTAAAGGGTTCAAAAGCCAAGAGCCTTGGTTGTGGTTTAGGGCTGTATCTCTGGGGCTTAGGATCGTATTCTGATATGTAGAGATTCGGGCTTAGAATAGTAGACAGGTGGGGTTTAGGGTTTAGGGATTTCGGGCTGTGGGATTTGGTGTTTGTTGGGTGGGTTTTGGAATGTCCTCCATGACGTTGTAGGTTCTACCAGGTTTTTGTAGTGTGGCGGCCTGTTTAGTATCTTGGGAGTCTTTCATGCGATGTTGTTGCTTGTTGAGGCCGGTTGCAAACAAATGGGGGTCTTAATCCACAGCCGCAAACGCCCACGTCAAGCCTTCTACGTGGGCCATGAAGTGCGCTGCTGCTGCATACATGAGGACCCTTTATAGGGCTCAGGTGTTTTTGAGTTTAGGCCCTAAACCCAACACCCTAAACCCTACACCCTAAGCCTTCAACCCTGAACCCTGAGCCCTAAACCCTAAACGCTACACCCTAAACCCTAAACCCTAAACCCTAAACCCTGAACCCTGGACCCTAAACCGTAGTTTAGGGGTTGGGACTTCAAGGTTCGGTTTTTCGCCGGAGGTTCGGGCTTGGGGCGTTCTGGGTGTCGTGTTGAAGGCCCAAAGACTCGTAGTCTACCAGGACCCTCCTTGTACCCTCAAATAGTGGGTATTCGGGGTCGAACTATTGGGGGTCGAATTATTGGGGTTTAGGGTTTAGGGTGTATACGGGTATATGGTCCCAAATAGTGGGTACTTGGAGTCTAATAGAGGGTAGATGGAGGGACCCTAAACCCTAAATCCTAAACCCTAAACCCTGAACCCTAAACCCTAAACCGAGGGTCTAGGGATTTTCTTGTTTTAAAACTGATGGGACACGCTTGCTCTTCCTCCTTGCTCCAGGTTTTCGCTTTCAGGCATGCCCGAGGTTCCCGCTTTCTGGCTTCTAATTCAGGGTTTAGGGTATAGGGTTTAAGGTTTAGGGTTTAGGGTTTAAGGTTATTTCGGTTTCGGGTTCTCTGATGAGGTTTTGACATGGGAGGTTCTGTTAAGACTCCACGTCACTTGCTTGATGTCTGCACGCACATACGTACGCAGGTATGTATTTACGCATGTATGCATGTCTGCATGCAGGTGCTCTAAACCCTAGACCCCAATAAACCGTGTGACACTATGTTATATCATGTTTCATGTGTGTCACTGTTTATGTCTATGGAATTACATTGTATGTCTTATTTCATTTTTATTTTACTAGGTACTGCATTTTGTGGGTCACTCTGTTCTAGTTCGAAAGCAGCCTTGTGCACCCTAAACCCCAAACCTCAAACCCCTAAACCTCTAAACCCTAAACCCTAAACCCCAAACCCGAAACCCCTTAACCCCTAAACCGCTAAACCCCAACCCCCCACACCCTAAACCCCTAAACCCTAAACCCCTAAACCCTAAACCCCAAACCCCCGAAACCCTAAGCCCTTAGAGGAAGCCTGAAGCCAAGAGATGCCAAGGTGCCCAGGTTCGATCATAGGCGGCCTCCA